TCTGTGGAGATTTTTAAGCGGAAGCTGGACAATCATGCAGAAATGCATGGTTTGTGTCTCAATGGCTTACCCTCTTAAAATTTGAAACCACATTGTCAATGGATAAGCATACAAGCTAAATCTTCACGACCCGTCCTGTCTTCTCCCACTGTACCGACTACTCTATCTTTTCCTATATTATCTACACTACAACCTATTATTATCATTATCATTATTATTATTACTCTACTTTTATGACTATACCGAATGACCAACGGGTGTTAGGTCAAACTCCATTCACGGCAGCAGCTGAGTCCTAACATACTGAACACTACAAACCACAATCTTGACCAATCCTCGCATCACTCCTCCTGGAGTCTACCAGAGCTAAAGCAGTCGAGTGGCGGGATTTACTACGCATAAGTTCACCGAAGATCTGGAACCTCTACCTTAAAATCAAGAAGCGAGCTCAAAGAAATCACTGGTTTATACTAGCTCGTAATCAGGATATTGGATATTGGATACATATTACCTAAGCACAAAGCAGGGGCCAAAACCAGTGCATGCAACTATAGACCTATCAATATAACACCGGTAATATCCAGAATAATGGAGAAAGTGGTTAAAGACCAAGCGTCAGACAGCTTACTAGAACATGAACTTATCAATCCATCACAACACGGATTTCTCAAAAAGAGATCATGTGTGACCTGTCACATAGACTTTTTCAACGAAGTTACACGAAGTAGGGACAACAGAGAACTAGTAATTGTGCTATATTTCGATATGACAAAAGCCTTCGACAGAGTTCCTCATAATCTGCTGGTCAGCAGGTTATGCTCACTAGGGATATGTGACCCTCTCCTGAGCTGGATAAAATCATTTCTCTGTGGCCGAAGTCAGACAACGAAAGTTGGCTCGATAATCTCAAGGCCTAAACCAGTAAGTAGTGGTGTGATCCAGGGAAGTGTATTAGGCCCACTCTTATTCATAATATATATAAACAGTATCTGTGAATGCTTTAGTGTAGGTAAACCAATACTATATGCAGATGACTTAAAAGTGACGCATAAATTCAAGAACACAGATCTTGAAATAACAGTAAACGCCATACAGCAAGAATCAGAAAAAATGGATAGATGGTGTGACACCTGGCAACCACAATTTAATGTCGAAAAATGTGGCTGGCTCTGCATAGGTTGCAACAATTTAGAACTTAACCTGACAATTCAAGGCCATGCACTTCTACGACTGGAATCTGTACTAGACCTAGGGCTGAAATATTCACGTAACTTATCATTTTCTGAACATATCTCCAAACAAGTGTCAAAGTCACGCAGACTTATCGGCTTTCTACTCAGGAACTTCTACAGAAATGAGTCTAGAATTCTGTTGTACAAGGTGTGTGTGCGTCCTTTATTTGATTACTGTGCATTCATGTATAGTAGTATACGCATAGAGGACAAGTTGAAAGTCCAGGGAGTGCAGAGGTACTTCACGTTAAAATTACTCGGAACCGAAAATGGTGTGAACTACTCCACTAGATGTTATACCCTAGGACTAGAAACACTGTGGCTAAGACGCCTGAGACTAAATTTAACACTTAGTTTTTACCTCTACTAATGGCACTCGACTTTTAGATGATAATGGCTACAAACTAAGGGTACAGTAGCTATCGAACAATGTAAAACAGCCACCAGGCAAAAGTTTTACTTGATTAGGTATGCACAGATATGGAATAAACTACCAATGGAAATGCGTCAAGTAAGTACATTGGCCTCCATCAAAAAGGTGCTTAATGACAAACTGCAAGAGTTTGCAAACGATAGTAGTTCTAGTTCCTATCTGAGAGCCTCCGAAATTATAGGTCCATTTAATGTATAGGCTTAAATACTGCACCTGTTGTTTTTTGCCTATATTCATAATTCTAGATAAAACATTAACTGTTAAGATACGTATCCTCAAACAGACAAGAAATCTCGTTTGTAAAACTACTACCCAACACACTAAGTGGAATAAAATGGACATAAACCGACAACATGAAAAAGGTATAACTCACCACAACATCACATGGATAGATGTACGCTCGTTGGGCACCATATATCCCTCACCAACTGCAATCCACCTTTCCTTAGATAATGTGATGAACTTATTTCCATAATGTTGCTGAGCAGTTAATATTCTCAACTCCTGTCGGAACAACTGAAGTTCATAAACCTTCCTCACGCTAAGAAAATACCCAAAAGCAGTAGAAATCCATTAATTAATGCGTCTGAAGCTTATGTATTTACTCCCAACAATGACATTGCAGATCAAATGAGACAAACATATCACTGATTTCAAAATAACACATCAATGAACTATAATTCAAGGATTCTGCACACAACGAAGTTATGTATGAAAATTGACTTCAAGCTTTATTTTTTTCCCAGGCACTTATAATCCATCCATCAAAGACCTGGTTCTTTTGTTAATGCGAAGACAATACTTCTGTATTTCCTGATGTGTTGCACTCACTGACAATCTAGCAGATTATTCCAACTGTGCACAGAAATGATCGTATATAAGTGAAAAGGCTGTTTTATACTACTGGGATTAACATTTATCAAGTGTATCTATTATCTCCAGCGAACATGTAAAGTATATCTTGCTACTGCCTGTAAATTGCGATTGAATTATATGGTTCTATTTCTGTAACAATTTGATGATGCCTGTAAACTGGCGTCCCTCATATACTGTACTATGAGAATAAATTTATTTATTTATATTTTCTGAGATGCTGTTAATGCTGAGATTCGCGAAAGCAGGGAATTATGCCTAGCAAGTTAACGTGGACCAGAACTAGAATCGGGGAATTTTTGCTGGGGTACTAGCTATTAGAGACAATCAGATTTCATCGTTAAATGCGGACGGTTTTTTTCACAGATTAGATCAGTCATCGGATAAATCATCTAAAAAGAAAAGCAGAAGTGACCAATTCAAACAATCCAATCCTATGCTTCCAGGTCAACAGTACAACTGAAGCTCACGTCAAAAGCAGGATTAGGAGAAAGCAAGTGAGCAGGTTGTTACAGTTATAACTTTTATCATTCCGCCACTAATCCTAATTTTTTAGAAGTAAATTCATAAGATTTCGATGAAGCTTTAGCACAGGACCAGTTAGATGGTCTGAGAGGCACGCAAACAAACCCAGAGTTCTTTATGAACATGCAGGAAGATATCTGATTTCTAGTAGATGTGGCGACTACAATTTCTGATACTGTGCTGTTTGAATATTCCTTTTTGTTCGTTAGTATTAATGACAAATAATGCTACGAAATCAGAATTCTTGGAATTTGTCTTCTCTGTGTTGTTCTTCGGTTTACAGAGGTTCATTCACTATGAGTTACAATTACAAATAAATTTCACAGATACATCCATATATTATAAGATAATAGGACTAACCTCAAATCAGTGACCGGATGAAAATTTGGAAGATATTTATAGTTTAGCCAATTTATATTGCTGATCACTGGCAAAAGTTGGCTGAAGCCTGCTGTAAGAATCTCTGAATGTATCCGCTTTCATGCTGGTATGTAACCCTACTACTTATTCTCGGAGACGGCTTCGAGAACTGATCTCCTGGTGGAAGCACCGCTGCTTCACAATCTAATGGTTCGTCCATGGTAGGCTATCTCGGTAGGCTTGCTGTACTGTTTGGGATGTTACTATCGAGTGGAGAAATAAAGGGAGAGGATAAGCAGTGTCTTTAAACACTAAAACTTCGGGAATTGACAAGATCCTTTCCCTATGTTATGAGTCTCAATCTGTTTGCTAGATCCCTATATGATCAGTCGGTCATGCGCAGACCATTAGTATAGACCTAATGAGTGTTCTTTAAGTCAAGGGGTGACTGGGCCTCATAAAGTATACACATAATCGTAAGCATATCATCTATCGTTTTAATAAAAGTCTTCACTCAAAAAAGGCTGCGAATCTGTGATCTGTTACTAAGATACAATGTACAGTATCTTATTACTTAGTGCGATATCCAGTTAAGAGTGCGCCTGAAATGAAGGGGGTTAGTTATCCTCTGTATGCTACTAACTGGTACTTGCATGCACTGTGTTAGGAAGAACCTGCCTTTTGATCGGCAATATGTATAGATCTGCCTTCACTTCTCTCGGAACTTCAGAGATTAAAGAATGGTTTGGTGATCTTAAGTTATTCTTAGTTAAGCAGAATGTATACACACTGATGAAGTTTGACTGCTTTTGTGGAGTTAGTAAACTAGGCATACGATTTCGCACGCCATAAGCCAATTGAAGTGATTTTTCGTAGTCCCACCAACCTTAATTTCACTTCCTAGTTCGTCTCATACAACTGAGGTAATAAGAATCTATCTGAAGAAGACGAACATTTGAATTCACAAGAAATTCGCACAGCCAATTCTTAGAACTAGCCATCATTGGGCAATCGTAAAAATCTGGCAATCTCCTCTTCCTCCCGAGTCAGTTACAAGCTACTATATTGTCAACCACCTTTAAATGTCTCATTAATTTTCTAATGTATATTATCATTTACACATGCATTTAAATTATCTATTCATTTCAAGAAATCGACACCATCAAAAAACACTAACAATGTCATTTGTCATCAGTCTTTGAATATTGTGTATATGCGAATGTAGAGCACGATGAAAAATTTATCAGAGTGAATACTCTTTGTCCAGTCTCTTTGTCTTATTGATACGTACAATAAATGAAAATTGGTCTATCAGGGTGCCTTATTGCTTACTGCCTTGTGTACGTGTAAGTTTGATTTTTACGTTCTCTCTCCTTCGAACTAACAATTCTTTCATCTATGTAGGCAGGATGACTGTTATCCGAAAATTTTATAGTTTCCTGACCAATCTGGTATGAAAAACTTTATGAAATACTTTGCTGAAAATTTCTTAGTTAAGCATGAATCCGTGCTGCCATATAGCTTTAAATATCCTGAAGACCAAGCGGTTGGTCTTTCTATTATGCGATCTGGAGATATTTCACACCTTTATGGGAATAAGTACGAAACGTTCATTCAGTCTTTTTAAAAGTCTTGTTGAACGTCTTGGAGGTCAACGCTACTCGAGCGCTATTTAATTGCAAGCGTGATGGCGGCCAAACGTAAGGGAGCTAAAAAGGTAGTTGAGGAGCAAATATCCCTTGGACCACAAGTCGCAGAAGGGGAGTTTGTATTTGGGGTTTGTCACATCTATGCCTCGTTCAACGATACATTCGTTCATGTGACGGATGCAACTGGGGCTGAAACAATTGTTCGTGTCACTGGTGGCATGAAAGTAAAAGCCGATCGTGATGAATCCAGCCCATATGCAGCTATGCTTGCAGCTCAGGATGTTGCAGAAAAATGCAAGACTCTGGGTATCAATGCTCTTCATATTCGTATCCGAGCTACAGGAGGAACTAAGTAAGTTCGCTATCCCCATTATGACTTATCTTGTAGAGTCCGAACCCCAAGTCCTGCTGCCCAGTCCGCTCTAAGAGCTCTAGCACGTTCAGGAATGCGTATAGGTCGCATAGAAGATGTCACACCAATCCCAACAGACAGTACACGTCGTAAAGGTGGTAGAAGAGGTCGTCGTTTGTAAATCGTGAAATTAATATAATGTGGTTTGAAATGTGTTAAAATTTCTTCTGCTGGTCATTTAGGTCTTAAGTGCGGTATGCTTGTCAGGAACTCATGTCTAGACATATGGCTGTAACGCATGTGTAGGTAGATTTGACGTAAGGTCCGTGAGTAGAAAATAAGTAAGCGTATATCACGTTACAGTAGGCTTTACAGGTGGGTGTTTTACTCCGTCTAAAGACTTGCAGTATATCTGCTTATGGATTTGCAGCTAGTAGTGTCACCTTTATTTGCTATCCGTCATCCCACTCTTCTGACAAGTCACTTCATGATTACTAGGCCAATGTCCTAGGCTTCGCCACTGGGATATTAATATTTACCTTACAGCTTTTCCTGTCGCTAGAAGTAAAAGAGTGACTACAGGAATTCTGCCAGGGTCGTATAGAATCGTGGTTACCAACTTTATATTTCACATTATGCCAAGTGCAATGTAAAATATGGTTCACAGCTCTATATTTTGCCTTTTTATTGCAATAACCAGGATGCCTTTTTGTCTAAGCTAACCTGAAATGAGACTCAAAGGTACTGTCACGAAGCCTGAAGACACAGACTGTCGTTATTTACCAAAGCTTAATTTAGCTTACCTTTTTATCGAACAATCCAGTAGGGACTTTCATTCATGCGACATCTCTTGCAGCGCTTGTCGTGATTTACATCATATAAATACGGAAGTCAGGGAGGTAGCTCCAGAACTGATGTCACGCGAGTATTTATTCATTCCAAACTTCTCAGTCCCTTTTTGCTGCTAGCATAAATATATAAGTCACCGAATTAAAATACAGACTGCCACTTTTTGGTAAGTTTCAGTGTCAAAACCCTAAACAAAGGATGAACACTAAACACTTTCCCCTTCATACACAGGTATTCTCACTAGTATGTCTGATCATTTCCAGGGAAGTGATGCGCTTGTAGATGAAAGTAATCCTGCTTGATGGAAAAACGTAGCTAGTTGGGGATAGAATAGACTTACGTATCGAAACTCTATAACCCTCTTTTTATGCTTGACATCTGTTAAGAGACTGTCGATTCAAAGACTCAGGTAGACATGCGCGACTAATTATAACGCGTCTAAACTCGTTCACCAATTATTAATTCAACGATAGGCACATCCATGTAGTTGTTCTTCAAAGACTTCGATTAGGATGTACGTAAGAACAGATGTATCTGTCATATCAGTCAGTTAACTGGATATGCCTAGCTAGTGATATTTCACGCAACAGAAGCTTACATTCTCATGGTGGGAACAACAATGATAACAATACTAGCAGCCACGATTTGAATTAGAGACCAAGACAGCTTTGTCTAATTGCCAAGTAAGATGAAGATGGTTGGTAAGCTGTCCCCTATTGAGATATGTCATGAATCTATCTTCCGATTGATAACTTGACTAAAAAATAAACTAAATGGGTTCGAACAAAGCAGCAACTGCACACGCGACCAAATACACCAGGTCTGTTTTATTTAGTCGATATCTTGTCAACCTCTTGCAATCAGAAGAATAAAAGTTATTAGATGTAGCTCAATTTTAACTTCATCTCACTGGAGAAACAAATATCGAACAGTACTTATGAATATTCACATTATGCGGCTGAATCTAAACGCTAATTTAGTATAGTTCATAACGCATTGCTTCAATAATACGTGCAACATAAGAGGAGTTTCTAGAAGAAAGCCGGAGTATTAACAAGACACTGAGTAGCACATACCGTAAAGTTGCACAAGTCATTAGAAAACTTGGTGAACACAATAAAACGCAAAAGAATTTTCCTGAGTATTAGGCTTTTTTAGTAATATATCAGATATGTGAAGCATGATGTCTAATAGTTGATTATGCTACTGAGTAGTAGTGAGAAGAAATCGACGTTCCCGTCTAACATAATAAGACCAGCTAGATGTCAAAATCCTAAAAGAAGTCTGTTTCGACTTCTCGGCAAATTAGTCAATTTTAAACCGTTTGGTAGCGAAAGCTTCTGAAAACTTCAGCCTACCTTTTTTATTGCCTTGAAGTAATTCATAACACTTGTAGTTAGTGGTGACACTACTCGATACCTTGTGCCAATCAGATGTGCAACTGCTGCTCATTGTCTTGTTAATACTCCGGCTTTCTTCTAGAAACTCCTCTTATGTTGCACGTATTATTGCAGCAATGCGTTATGAACTATACTAAATTAGCGTTTAGATTCAGCCGCATAATGTGAATATTCATAAGTACTGTTCGATATTTGTTTCTCCAGTGAGATGAAGTTAAAATTGAGCTACATCTAATAACTTTTATTCTTCTGATTGCAAGAGGTTGGCAAGATATCGACTAAATAAAACAGACCTGGTGTATTTGGTCGCGTGTTTTGTTGTTGCATTGTCCAAAGAAATTATTAATTTGGTTGAGTTGATGAATCCTTCCCCAGAATGGATAAAGACCACAGGGAAAAGCTTCGAATCCACTGACGCTTGATACTCAGTAGGTGTAAGTCAGCTTTAATGTTGGAAAGCCTATAGCACTTCTAGTTTTTTATGTATACGTTTACCAACTGTTTGACGTAAAACGTCTAGACAGAAATTTATGAAAACCGAAAGACTGAGTGAAGAAATATTTACTTTTCAATTAGATCCTCATCTCTGGCTCTACTCTAATATATATAGCATTTTTATTACAATACACAACAGTTTACCAATCAAGTGGCGATATGTTTGTTAACAATAATTAGTCAGTGTCAAAATGTCAATGGGTTGATAAGAAGCGAAGAAAATCAATACACATTTAAAAGGTATAAATTATTACTATTGTTCCCTTGGGTTCCTAGTGGAACATAAAGCTTCAACTGCACGTCTCCACTTGTTTCTGTCTTCTGCTTTACTTTTCATCTGCATCCATGTTAGTCCATACTGTTTCAGCTCCTCTTCACACGATGGTTAGGATAAATTAATTTTACAAGGATAACACTTAATTAAAGATGAAATGGTCAGAAAAATAAAATAATTCGGACAATTATAATTTTTATAATTTTAAAGGTTTAGGGGGAGCGGGACGAAGTAGTCCGGTTTATGCAGTCATGTAACGGTGGCCAAGGCAAGAAAAGTGGCTGTACAAATTTCTTCTGAACACACAGGTTAGGCTTCTTCAGGTGAATTCCTATTCCTTCAGCTGTCTGTATAAGACGAACTCGTAGAGCAAAATTAAGATTAGTAAGAATGCGATAGATAATTTTAAATGCTGTATTAACATCAACCTTATGCTCACTGTCTACTGCAGTCAAACTGGTTAATAAGTGCATCATCTTTAATTACGTGTCATCCTTGTAAAATTAATTTATCCTAACCATCGTGTGAAGAGGAGCTGAAACAGTATGGACTAACATGGATGCAAGTGAAAAGTACAGCAGAAGACAGAAACAAGTGGAGACGTGCAGTTGAAGCTCTATGTTCCACTAGGAACTCAAGGGAACAATAATAATTTATACCTTTTAAATGTGTATTGATTTTCTTCGTTTATTACCAACCCATTGACATTTTGACACTGACTAATTATTCATTATAAATTATTTAAATTAATCCCAGCGTGTTAAGAAAATCAAAACAAGATTTTTCTAAACGTTTCGCTGTGTAAGCCACAGCTTCTTCAGCAGATCTGCTGAAGAAGCTGTGGCTTACACAGCGAAACGTTTAGAAAAATCTTGTTTTGATTTTCTTAACACGCTGGGATTAATTTAAATAATTTATAATGAATCAATCTGACTCGGCGCTCAAATTATTAAAAAAAAACTGACTAATTATTGTTAACAAACATATCGCCAATTGATTGGTAAACTGTTGTGTATTTGTAATAAAAATGCTATATATATTAGAGTAGAGCCAGAGATGAGGATCTAATTGAAAAGTAAATAATTCTTCGCTCAATCTTTCTGTTTTCTAAATGTCTAAATGGGTTTTTTTCTATATAGAAATTTACGAGTTCATCTTACGCTTCGTGGTAGTACACAAACATGACTAAGGGATAAGGGCGATCAGGTAGAAATGTTTAAGATTTCGAAGATTATGAAGAGTAATTTTCCCTGCTTCACTAGAAAATTTAAAACGATATTACCAAACAATCAGTGGTTCAAAAATTCCAATCAGTTGACCTTCACGTGAAATCACTGATTTTTAAGATGTAATATGATCGAGAACTGCGATTCCTATTTTGGCGGCTGTGTCATATCTGTTAATATATGAATAAACTGGCTGGTGTACTCCACATTTCCATTTGGTCATAATGCGTTTATTATTTACTTAAAACTTAGTGCAATATGATCACCAAGAGATGCTCTGCACATAATAATTAACGAGGCAAAGATAGTTGAGTAACAATGGAATAAAGAGTAAGCAAGCATAATTATCAAGAACAGTCAAAAGAGCATTGATTACCTAATATTACTTTCAGAAATAGAAGAAAACTAATGATATATTCATCACTGATATTGATCCCAAGTAGTATCTCGCAACGTTTCAAGCCAAGTGAAATCACTTTAGAGATCTTTGTCATGTTATCTCAGGTTTGCAAACCACTTTAATAGCTAGCAAACAGTGAATAATGTGGAAGCCTCCGAGGTAGCATTCGTAACACATATCTCAATATGACACTTACTGAAAGATAACCTTACCTCTGTTCAGAAACGTATAGTCCTACCTCCGAATGACTGATAGGATGAAACCGCCAAGTATAAGTAATTCTACGGGGAGAACAGTGATGGAACACATCCTGTGCTTGCAAAGGCGTGGTTTCACAAGTGTAGAGGAAGGATTCACACAATGATGTAACGCTGAACGTCGACAGCTAGTAAACACCGCAATAACTTTTAGGGTGGCCCAAATAAGTAATGTTAACAAATCTACCTGGTTGGGTTTTTTGACTACTTCTAGAGTATCACCTCAGGAAGTGGGGTAACGTGTCATCGACCATCTTGCAGCAACACTTTGTACTTGGATGTTGCACTGCCTTCACGTGGCGGAGGTGTTTTTCAC